ACGACGACCTCACACTGACGGACCGCAGGAGCCACAGCGACATCATGGGGCGGTACAGACAGCTTCGCTCTCGTAACAGGAAGGAAGAGAACCAGGCCATCACAGTGACTTCAGACAGCTCTAGTCATAAGGTAAGGCGTTCACACACACTCACACAAGCACACAAACTCACGCACACACACATAATGTGAGATATAGCGAAATTGATTTTATTCAGAGAAGTGGTTCTCAACCTCTGCAGTCTGACGGCAAACCAAAATCCTGCACTTCTCTGACACAGCAACTCTAAATTTCGTGAATATAGGAATATGAATGTATTATGAAAAATAAAACAGCAAAGAAAGCTTGATGAACTCAAATCAATGGAGTAGAAGTTAATGAAGGTTAACAAAGCCCCAATGTCTGAAATGAAATTTGTGTTTATAAAGAAAAATGGTCAGTGGCAAATGATAGATAACATTGAAAACACTCACACAAGGCATGCACAGCTGCATTATACACTTGGTTACTGAGGAGTTAATCTCACAGATTGTTCTGGATATGCACGACTTCATGGGTGGAGATGTGAAGGTGAAGGTAGTAGGTGAGAAGGAACTGGTGGTGGAAGGACGTATGGAGAAGGAAGAGGGAAGATCCTCCATGTCTGCACACTCCTTCAGAAGACGATTTTCCTTGCCTCATCTTACTGACATGACAGCGATCACATCTGTCATGTCTTCGGATGGAATCCTCACAATCAATGTGCCAGAAGTTGTAAGTATCTACTGGTTGGGATCTTAATTGAATTGCAGTTATACAAGTAAAATGAAATACGATATCGTTTTGTGAAATGTCAATCTGAAATTCTTCCTTCTTCAGGAAGAAGATGCACGGCAGAAGGCCACCGTCATTCCCGTCCACGTCGAGAAAACTGAAAATTCCTCAAGAATGCAGAACTGGGAATCTTCTAACACATCTTCCACTGCGTCTGCCGAGGCCACCTCCGTACAAGGAAAGTCCTTGGAGGTGGATCAAGAGGAATGTGAATGTGCAAGATGTTCTTTGGAAAATAGATGCCAGGCTAAGAACACACAGATTCCACTCAGCAATGCATCTCACTCACGGACTGAGGAAGGAGTTTCTGCCTCAAAACAAAGTTCTTCAGTGTTCACAAAATCGTCTCAGAATGAAGGTGCAGAAATTGGCTCTTATGGATCATGGGACACTTTCCTGCCCATCACACGAAGAGGAAATTTCTTCAAGGACTCTTTCTTCTCTGATATACATCAGGACTTCAACTCCGCCATCAAGGAGGTCCTGGAAAGGTGGAATGACACCGATCTGAGGCTGAGAGACCGCTGGGACGGCGCCGATTTCCTCGACCACTACAGGCAGCTTCGATCCCGCGACTTGAAGGAGGAGAATCAGGCTGTCACCGTCGCATCAGGCAACTCTAGTTATAAGGTACGTCTCATCTTCACAAACCAATTTAGCAATGGATGGAGCATTTCTGATGACATGGACATTACTACTTGAACTGTGGGTACAGATGAAGTCCTAATCATCACTACATTTGTCACAGATTGTGTTGGATGTCCATGACTTCATGGCTGGAGATGTGAAGGTGAAGGTGGTGGACGAGAGGGAGTTGTTAGTGGAAGGACGTGTGGAAAAGAAGGAAGAGGGAAGCTCATCCCTGTCGTCCTATTCCTTCCGACGACGCTTCACTCTGCCACAGCACACTGACATGACAGCCATCACATCTGTCATGTCTTCAGACGGTATCCTGACGATCACTGCTCCTGCAAAGGTAAGATTTTTGTTTAATATTTGGCCTTAAGGTCGCATAAATGAACTCTAAACAGTAAATAAATATTGCATGATTGAAAAGAGAAAGTTTCTCATGATTAAAATCTTACATTTGACAGAACGGCAAGGCTCAGCAAGCCAAAAGCATCCCGGTCACAGTCGAAGGAAAACGGGCTGTTTCTCAGGAATCCTCCTCCTCTTCCACAAAGACAAGTGTTACCAACGAATCTGTCAAGGAAAGGAAAGAAGATTGTGAATGCCTCCACTCTTCCAAGACAAGCGAAGAGAAGACTTCTCAGAAGCCAAATGGGATGAAGATTCCAATCCAGATTATCGGATCTGTGACAAAGGAGTCTGAAAAGGCTCGAAGCTCCTCTGCAGACACCTACGTAAGCTCTCAAGAGAACGTCAGTCAGACTCAAGTTCAGGAGCAAAAGCAAAGGAAGGCTGAAACCATAACTTCTAAGGAATCAAGTGCTGCAACATCTACCTCCGTTAATAGAGAAAGGCAGTCTGGTGAGAAGAGGGAATGCGAGTCTCAGGAGAAATCGTCCCTTGTGGAAAGTACAAGTTGCCACGAATCTGGAAGCAAGTTCATCCCTATTAGAAGAAGAGGACTTTTCTTTAGCGATTCTGTGTTTCAAGACACCAGGGATGACTTCCACAGGGCAATAAAGGAGGTGCTAAGGAGCTGGGGAGAGGAATCGTCCAT